GGAATGCATTGTAGGCGCGAGATCATTGAGACAAAAATAAGAACGAGGAAGATAGAAAAAAACGATCGCTTAGATACACGCCACTTTGTATGCTTTCCCATCACTCCACACACACACACACACACACACACACACACACACACACACACACACACACATATCCGTCGTCATTTTCCCTCGAGTAGTAATGGAATTAGCTCGGTGTTTAGATATCTCGAATATACGGGTTTCTCCTCGAGCGCGGTTGAACTCGAGGACACGATACGTTTCTTAGAGGATTGCACTCGTTAACGATTGTCTCGAAGATCCTGTCTCGAAGAGCTTGCCAATTTTTATAACAGATACACTTTCTGCTGTGTCTTATCGCCACTTACCAGATGAGAAACTTAAGAATCAAGATGGCTAGGATCTAGGGACATTAATAATGGCATTGAGTAGAGTTGCAAAGACATACAGTGTGAAGATTGGATCATGTAACGCTATAATTAAGTAACATAGTGTGAATCTTAGTTAGCACCAGGAGAAAGTGAACTTCATCCGAAGTTGATACTTTCTCTCTCTAATTACATAATACTTATTTACTTATTTCTTACATTACTTCTGTATTATTTTATGATTATTTTAATTAGCGTAACGTACTGAATTTATATTATGATGTCATAGGCGATCGGTAATCAATGCTCTTCGATTATCCTTGGAAGTTTCTTCGTTTTTTCACTTAGAAGTAATATAGAGTATTCTGTTCTTAAACGGTTTCCAAATCTTCAACCTCTTTTCTGCACCAAATGCAATACGCTCATTAGTTTGTATTATGTAATACAAACCAATCGTACAGGCAATGAGAAGAACTTTTCTCAGTTGATGACGAATCTTGGTCTCTCCCTTCTTGGTCCTCAATAGCCCGAAATGCGCTTCGCATTAGATCACGGTTTCGCGGTGCCGCGGGTCGCCATCCTCCGAACAGCAAAGCAACAGCTGGAAAAAGCAAACACGCGCGTTTAGTAGATGCTTCAGAGTGACGAAACATTAATGGCCTGCTGTCTCTCTGTGTGTGTTGCAGCGGCAGTGCTGGCGAGTCAGCAGGCCGCCGCGGTAGCCGCCTCGGTGATCTCGCCATTCCCGCCCAAGTGACCCGCGGCCCCCGGCCCCGTCCTGCCCGGCGGAACCGCCGGGGGCAACTCCGCCGCACAGGCCCACCACACGCATCCGGCGGCGGCGGCGAGCGGCGCGCCCGGTGCGAGACACCCGCACGGCACTGCCGCCGGTAGCGGCAGGCAACCGTAGGAGACGTGGACACGAGCGAGCGAGCGGTGTAGCCGATACTGAGCAGGATTTTCCCGCCGCGTGTATTTTCCATACTGCATTGTACGGCTGGATTAGGACCAAGGAAAAACCAGTAAAGAAAGGCTGACGGTACGGCCGGATTAGGAGCAAGGAGTGTAGCCGGTAAAGAGACCGGGATGTTCCTTATCTACTCTGTACCGCCCGTTCTCTCGATGTCATTTGAAATTGAGATCCCAGAAAAGCTAGTTTGAGACCTAGTTAGGACCACGAAGAGATGACCAAGATAACGGGTGCTATCGTTCCTCTTCTCAACAACTTGGTTCAAGTATTATAGGGACTGAAGACTAGATGAAATATTAAAACTTCTATGTGATAGCCAGGAAAAGAGGAATGGGAACAGTGCGCTGTTCACTTACTCGATAACGCTAACTGGAACTTTAGGGCAATGTGATACACGGTGCTCTATATGGTATTATTCATGTCCCTGCGAACTAGGCTGAATTAGGAATTCTATATATGCAAGCAAATTGTAAATCATGAGTAATGATGATATTAGAAGGTTGGAACGAATTGGGAAGATTGATGGATCACGAAGATTCACGACTTTCCAAATCAGGCGTACACGCGGAAAGTACTATATGTATATCGAATTTAGAGAACGTGAGAAAGATAAGAGACTGAACTCGTTTCGACGCACAAATACGTTGTCCATATTCTCGGACAGAGATGTTTCTGATCAATCCGAACAGATAGTAGTAGAGGCTCGACGAGACGATCGTGAGTAAACAATCCTTTGGATGTATCGAACTATCGAACCGATGCTCACGCGACGAGAGAACGAATTTCCTCCTATCACACTCCCCGAGTATCGTGACGCCGCATATGTCCATTGCGGATTCACGATTCTCGCGCAGACAAAACCAGTTTACTGGATATCCTTCTTCGTGTACATAGTGTATATGTAAGTAACACGCGCCGCATAATGTACAGACGCCTTCAGTTAGCGTAAGAATAAGTGATTAGGAGCTCGATCTTAGCCCGTAAATTGAGACCTGTAAAGTTTTCGAGGGGTACGATCTATCTCATGAGATGAGGGTCCTCGAGCGAGATCGAGCGAAAGGTTGCCTCGTTTCGGTGGACTGGATTCGCTCAGTGCCATCCAAAAAAAAATCATTGATTCCTCGTTTGACATGTGCTGATTCTGGGTAACACTCGGTTTCTCTTTTCTTTCTAGTGTCTAGATCTAAACAGACCTTGTGGGACCGGTAGCTCGGAATGGAACGGAGAATTGCAGATCCGGGAAGTATTAACTAAACAACATTCGGGACCCGAAGTTAGGATAGGCTGAGGGAGGTCCGCGCGGTTCATCCATCGGAACGAGGCATGGAAGATACGCGACGACAGTTCGCGAGGAAGCAGGCGTCTCGTTAGACTGAAGCACGCGAGGACGAACGGCACTGTCGGCGTTCTTGCGTTCACGGGGCCGCGCTGGCAAAAATTGTGGCGAGCGTGGATTAATGCGTGCCGGGTGCGAGCGCGGCTCCGCCCCCGACTCTCAGATTCGAGCGTGTGTGTTCGAGGCGAGGTGGAATTTTTATCGAGCGTAGAGAAGCTTAAGAGCGTCCGAGCGAGCGCGTGTAGACGTGTGCGTGTGCATATATGTAAGAGAGAAAGAGAGACAAAAAAAATATATATATATAAACGATTATATATAGGGTATACGAGAGATGTAAGAAAGTAGCGAATCACGTGCGTCGACTGCCTTGTACAAGCATAATGCATGCCTGTGGATGTGCGTGCGTATAGATTCCGTATCGATGTATTTTATTGTAAAGAAATAAGACAAAGAATTTAGGCGTGCGCAAACTTCGATTTTTGTAGAGAAATTGTATAACTTTGCTGATAACTTATCTCTTAGGGAAATGAAGAATTCATAATTGTGTGTTGACCGATCGCTAAATGCCGATAAACGCGACCAGAGGAAACTCGTCCTTAGGCATGAACGATTTATAAAGTCACGAGGACGACAAAAGAAGAAAAATGGAAAAACGAGGCGACACGTAATGCGTTGATTCTAAATAATTAAGTGGCGTTAAGTGATTGTAAATTCGATGCTAGAACACTATTTGTTTACTATGGTAATGGTAGCCAGTGATGCGCGAGAGCTAGGGGGAGAAAAAAAAGGGGACAAGGGGTTGAGGAGAAGTGCAGTGGCGAGGTCTGTAGAGTGAGGTAAACTAGGAGGAGCGAAACGTATAATTACGTATGCATACGCAACTATATATATATGTATCTATAAACTACATAATGTTTGTTCAGTAACTACTATCGTCATCCATTTTATATATATTATATGCGATTATTGATTATTAATTATATTATTTTATTACTATCGTCAGTGTGACGTAAGGTAGGGAGAGATAAGAGGGAAAAAAGAGAAGAGAAAGATAACAGCGGTGCGAGAAATTTTATTGGCTACGTTTCGCAAATGCCAAATCAAAAGATACGGCTGATGATGCGTTTCACATTGCAAGGGAGAAAAAAAAGAGATATTTAATAAAATGAAGGAATGGAGTAACAGGGCAAAACGTAATGCATCCATTTTGCCGAATGTAAGCGAAACCGCGATAGAGAAGCGTGCGCGCACGCACTTATGTGAGCGAGAGAATGTACGTATAAATGCTTTGTTTGTTGTATGCATCTTTGTGTATATGTGTGTGCGTATATTGTATGCGTATATGCGAATGAATGAGAGAAATAAAAAATGATTCGCCTCAGTTTTAGTGGGGCACCCAGCGGACGAAGGGGTAGGCTTTAAAAAAAATTAATGCTGGTGCTGCTCTGTGATTTTTGTATAAAAAAAAAAGCAAATAAAAGGAAAAGAAGAATCCGAGAAAGAAAGAGTACACGAAACGATCGAGAGACTCGATATTCTGCGGGATCTCCAGGAGTATAAAAGAAATATAAAAAGAATGAAAAGCAACACGCAGAGAGATAGCTTGAGTACCTGGACCCTGCCCTGGTCCGCGTCTGCCTCCGCGAGCGGAGGTGCAAAGGAAAGAAAAAAAAAGGGAGAAAAAGTGAGTGAGTGAGTGAGTGAATGAGTGAGTGAGTGAGTGAGAGAGAGAGAGAGAGAGAGAGAGAGAGAGATGAGAAATAGAGAATGTGAGAATGAAAGAAGAAGAATGTACGAGTGCGCCGCGTCGTTTCACTCAACTGTACAGGCTGTAAAATGTATTCGCTTTCAGTAAGCAAGGAAAAAAGAATTTTAATATAGATCGTTAATCGCTAATTAGGGGATATACGTAGAGGGAGAAAGATATGAGGAGAGAAAGATGGTGAGAGATCGTCGTCGTCTTTCGTAAGCTCAAAGAGCTTTATTTGCACCTTCACGCGAATCGCACATTACTGGAAGACGGGTTTCAACTTCGTGGATTAGATGGTCGGTCTTCGCTACCCTCGCACTCCTCCTGTCAGCCCCCGCTCGCCCCGTGGGAATGAGAAACCCCCTGGGACGCGCAACTCGCCCAAGTGTAATAGAGAGCGTATGTAATTAGCAATTGGAGACAACCTCCGTGTCCGAGAATACGACACTGTAGCGAGTACTACGTATATTTGCCAGGACGTTGCATAATCGATCGTGAGAGTATCAGGTGAGAAAGAAGAAAGGGTGAATAAGAAGGAGAAAGTAAAAGACGAAAAGGAAGAGAGAAACCGTGTGAAACAAAAGGGTTGAATTATATATAGATGCGCGTATGAATGTATGTACGTATAACAGAGGTATGAGAGTGGATAGAAGCGAATGGTAAACGATGCTAAGAGAACTGAGACATATAACATAATAAACAAGGACCCTTATTCTCGTCTCCTTTTTTTAGAATGATAAAAATAGTGAGTCGTTACGCTTTATATATTATACATCTCGAGTATATGAATATACGAGTAAACATAACGTACAGAGAAGCAGGTGCAGAAGAAAAAAAAACATGCAGGCATCTTGTCGTTAAATTGTAAGATATTGTGTTCAAACTCCAGAATGTACTCTGATCCCCCTTCCTCAGACTACTATATATTAAATATATTATGCACTATGCTCCAACTTGTCCATACAAATAAATATATTCAAAAATCTCAAACATCTCTGCCTTTATTTTTTGTTTCACTATCTTTATTTTTCAGATTGTGAGAGACGAATTTAAGAAATCATGCGGTTCACTTTATCATTAGATTCAGAGGATTGCATTGATAATTGAAATTCATTATATACATTATATATATATATATATATATATGTATGTATGTATATATACGTATACGTATATGTACCTATATATGTATCTACATATATGTATATGAAAATATTAAATTAATAGATAAAAGAAAAAGTATCCTATATATCTTATACATACAGTATCAATGGTTCCCACGCGAACATCATATCATGAAAGCATCAGCTAATTCTATAGTTATCTGATTTCATTACTTGTAATGTCCAGCAGAAAAATAAAAAATTGATAATTAAAATAATTAAAATAAATTAATGATCTATACAGTATGATAAAATTCTTCCTTTTTTTACAAAAAAGCATTGGAAGTATAATAGACATAAGAGAGAAAAGAGAACTAAATCAAAGAATAGAGAAGAGAATTAAAAAAGAATTAAACATTTTTATTTTTTTTACTTATTTGTCAATTTCTTATATTGCTGATTATATTTATCTAAATGTAAGACTTTGGTGACTTTTAATTTAAATTTTTACTAACGTCAATAAATATTTGTAATTACCGGTAGTGAGCCGGCAACTTACTGATTGATGATATTTTGTGAAATGCAAAAATTAAAAAATATTTGTCAAAAAGAAAGTATAATTAAATATTTTTTATTCGAATTAATTTTCTTCGTAACTTAGATATTTTCGAGAATTGAAATCTGCGTTTGAAAAAGTTATTAATATGTTATAGATAATTATCGACATTATTTATTGTGTGTTATAACAGTCACAAAACATTTTTAAATAAAAATTCGCAAAATTAATAGATCATACATATAATTGAATCCTAAATGCAAAATTAAATTAATTTAGAATTTTAGGATTTTGTAATTTTATTAAATCTGCCGGATGATCAATCGAGTAATAGAGGTTAGGTTATAGTTCCATGCTTTCATTCATGGAAAGTATTGTTATTTTGTATGTACAAAATATGTGAGATATTCATATTTCATCCGTTAATATTTTATCATCTTTGCTTAATCTTCTTTATCTGATGATAAAGTGCATTGCACTACTTTTTAACCTCGTTTTTTTGAAATCTGAAAAACAAAGGTCATTATATATGAAAATCCAAGTTTAATTATAATTTATGTAATTTCCACGGTAATAAGTACTAAATCTAATAAATTAATCTTATAATTGGATTTTGTTTCATTCGCGTCTTGAAAATATATAAGTGTATCATATATAATTCAGAAAATTAGGTTATAAATATCTATTATTTTCCAAAATTGGAAGAGGCAAATACAAGGATATCAAATATATATTTTATTCATCTTGAAATCATTTATATATTTATATAAATATAAACGTTCTCTTTTTACAGAAAATTTTATAATTTTCAGAAAAAAACATAATTTTTAAAAAATAGTCCAATATAAGCATAAAACATGGACGAAATTGATTATAAATTGAGATCACAAAATCCTACTTTGATATCACATGTAAGAATGGCAAAGATAACTATAATCACACATTTGCATTTATGTTGTAACTATATGAATACTCAATTGTCTTTTCTGCAGGCAATATCCAAGCTGATCGAGGCAATCAGAAAGAAGTTGGAAACAGAAGAAAAGGACATTTCAAAAGTAAATCATTTTCTTGATAATTATGATTTTAGTATTTACTATACATAAATATTTT